TCTGATGACTATATCAATTCGAAAACCACTTTGAAACAGTTTGTTATACAGTATGAGAATGCATTGGCAAAAAAGGTCGAAAATGAAAATCTTGAGGAATTCAATTCTTTTAGCTCATGTATCCCATGTATAAGTCATTATGAGATAGAGAAACAATTTCCAAGTGCTTACTCGAAAGCAAAATTCAAAGAGTCCCAGCGAGAGATATTAGGAAAGATTTATTGTGATTTGACTACATGTAAAGAAGGTTGTGGCATTTTAGAATATACAATTGATGAATATGTCAAAGTTGGAGAGAGCCATCAATGTGCAACTTTCATTGTTGTTTTTAAGGATGATACAAATAAGTTAATTGTAATTTTTGATTATTTGAATTTAGGGGAATATTGTGCAAGCATCAAATCACAGTCTTCATGCATAAAAAGATTGACCAAGTACTGGAGAAGTACATCTTGAGGAGATGAGATAAAAATGTTAAAAGGAGCTACATGAAAGTTCGGATTAGTTATGCCAATTGTTCTAGCAAACCTGAAGCGCATCGATTTAATAAAATTTGCAATGCCTTTTATGAGGTTGCCGATTTTGGGGCATGTAGCATTACTGTTTTCCAATAATCCACTGACTCCACAATCAAACAGCAGATTGTCGCGTCAGCGGATCATTTTACTTACAAGTGGGTATAAATTTACGGCCAAAACTATTAATTTACCTATTTTTATTTTATAAATTATTTTAATTCACGCTTTTTCATTAAAAAAAAGTTAAAAAATTATTCTCAAACATACTAATTTTTTCCTCTCATATTTTAGTTAAAAAATTTAAAAAAAAAAATTACTTAAATAATCTGTTCCTAAACAAGACCTTACTGTAGTTATTGAAATTATAAAAAATTATCTACGGTATCCATTTAATAATAAGAAAATATATTATTATTATTTATTTGAAAAATAAGAAGAAAAAAAAGTCATATATCTCGTTAATATTGGAAAAGCACAGTGCGTATTCTATAGATCATATCTGTTAGATAATTACTCAAACAGAGCTAATTGTTTAAATGAAAATGAGGAGTTTATTGCAATTATAATCATGGCCTGATTGGAAAAATAGTATCTTCTATGAGATTAGTATTTTTACATCTTTACGCTTTTTACCCTTCCTTCACAACCATCCTTCCATCATCAATGCTATTCCCTCCTTCATTTCTTTCCTCACAATGCAGTTTTCTTAACAACCCCCCCCCCCCCTTTTTTTTTAAAAAAAAAGAACAAGAAAAGGAAAAGAAAAGTTTAACAATGAAGCCACAAAAAAGGATTGTCTTTTGCATTTTGTGGTTCTCTCTCTATTTCAAGCTGCGAAATCGCTTCTTGTAACTGGTTTTGAATTTGATCTCATGTTTTGTTTTTCTCTGGTTCTTCTTTTAAAATCACACATTGGATTCGCTCGAATTGATAGACTTCTTGTTGTCTCCATCTTCATCGACTACTATAATTTCCTTTGGATCATTGTAAAAAAAAATTATGGCGAAGGATGGTGATTCACTCATCAAAAACACTCTTCTCCCTCTGCCCAAAAAATGAAAAGAAACTAATCCAAATAGTTTTAGTTGTATTTGGATCTTATATTTTGAATCCCAAAAAAAATAAGAAGGGTATCAATTCTCAACCTCTGTGTGGACTTATCCCGAGCCGAGCCTACTTTAATGATTTAAATAATTTCTATTATAAGATCCATGATCATCTCAATAAAAATAATTTGGGAGACAAAAAATCATTTGTGAAAAAAAGGTACAGTATCTGAAGTGTCACTTCAATTGATAATAGAATGTAATTTCCTTTACATTTTTAGTATAGTTTATGGGATTTAAGTCATAAAATTCCTAGAGAATTATTGCAAAGATCTCACAAAAATAACAGAAAGATTTAGTCATCTCATCAACTCAACAATCTCTCTCATATAAAGCCAGTTAGAATTTGCAAAGCAAACACGTTTTTATGTTGAAAACTGATTGAAAGTGAAACAAGTTTGTTACCACCCAAACACGTTTTAAATCATATGTTAATTTTAATTGGCCAACACCATAACGCAAAGCAACCCTTAAAATTATGACTTTAACCCAAAACCCATTCCTTTCATCCTTCTAATTTGTATCATTCAAACTTGTTCATTTTAAGATTGTAATAGTAAATTTAAATTTTAACTTATTTATATTTTGAACTGATCATGAGTCAAGCTCGAATTACTTGATCTCTTTTATTATATATAACTTTATTAGTGTTATTATCGAACTGAGTTGGTAAGTAAAAGTCAAAAAATTAATAAGTTTCAAAGTGTAAAACTTTTTATTTGATTACACATCTTGAATGAATTTTTAAAAAGTTCAACGCAAATTGTGCACTTTTTGTGCCAAAAATTGGTCACACGCTTCATTTTCTATGTCAAAAATTATGTGTCCCTAAGAGCATCTCTAACAGTGTATCAATTTTTTTATTAAATTTGAGTAAAAATTTCATTTGATATCAAGTGCTCCAACGGACTATTTTGGAGCTTCATCAGAACAATGGTCGACTGAGCAGATGTCCCGCCGGTTGACTGGCCAGCGTAAATTTTTTTTTTTTGCCTTGAGGTGGTTGACCGGGCGGCTGACCAGCCAATGCAATTTTTTCACAAATTTTTGCCTTGAGGTGGTCATCCGAGAGGACATCCGAGGGACATCCGGCAACAGCAATGAATAGTGATTTGATGAAAGATACATTTGTCCTCAATTTGATACCTATTTGATGCAACCGTTAGAGCAAAAAAAAAAATATATATTATTTTTCATCAAATTCAAATTTGATGAAAGATTTGAGTAATCATTGGAAATAATCAAATCTAACACTATTATTAGAAGTCAGAAATTTGTGCGTAAGTAGTTCTTTTTGAATTATCTTACACCGTGGCAACAGAAAAAAAAAGTTTCTCTCTTATACTAAATGGTCACAATTGTTTTTATCCTAAAAACATTTTGATTTCTCAAATGATATATATATAATTTATCATACCAACATTTTTGGTAAATTTGCAAAATAACAATAAATGTTTACACAGGTTGCCTTCCATCGGCTTAGTCACCAAAACTATTAATAAAATAATTAAACCACATGATGACTCAAGCTTTCAATGCATAATATCATGACATTGATATTGGTCTAATTATATCCCCTCATTAACTTTGTTTATGTGTTCAAGCAATGTGTTTGTTTACACTAAAAATATGTAAATTTGAAGATAATTCCCCCCTGAAATTTTGGTTTGAAAATTAAACACTAAAAGTTTTTGATTTTGATTGGCTGATGTTATATGGGGCCAGGGATGAGATTGTTTATTTGCTATTGAGATTTTCTACTTTTCTCTTAATTTTCCATAAGCATAAGTGAAGTAAAAAATATACAATATTTATAAGTTATATTAATATACACTCTAAATTATATATGTTAACAATATTTTTTATGAACATAATTAGGAGAAATATATTGCAATAATGTCACGATTTTTTATTTATATTTTAAAAAAAAATTCTCAATCAGAAATCATCTAATAAAATTATGAGAAAATTAGTCTAAGGTTCCTCGCCCATTTTTAATAATGGAAGAGATTCACAATATTATTTTATGATGTCTAAGATCCCTCAACCCCACATCCATATATCACAGAGAAATTTGACTCTCTCACAAAAAAACACTTACTGTCCTGTGGCTGCTTAGCCAATCACTAGCCTTAAATTCAGCCAAACCCACCATTTCCACATTTAAACTCATCTCCCTCTGCTTCCAATCTCTACCCATGTTAGCCATGTCAATGGTTGTCCTTCTTCCCCTTATCTGGCAATTCTCGTTCGGGTTCGAACCCAACTCAATTTACACTGCAGTCTCATTCATCTTCCTTACGTCAAAAGGCTGAAGAACTGACCCCGTTGAGAGCGAGTTCCTCTTGTAGAACACAGAGATGCTGAAGGTTTCGAACTCCAAGTTTATCTTCTTGTTCGGGTTCGTTACGGTCAATTGGACTTCGTATCGGGCATTTTTCTGCGAGTCGGAGATGTTGAAGTTGGATACAGAGAGTGAGTCGACGTGGAAGACGGGTTCTTGTGGGTGAAGAATGAGCCACGTGATGCAGCCAACAGCAGTGATTGCAACGAATAGTATCACAGATGGAATGCTCACAGCCAAAACCAGTGACTTACCACCTCCGACGCCAATAGAAACCATATCGCCGGCGAACATGCCTAGGACGAACCACTATTTGGAAAAAAAATTCCAATTCTCACTAGACCAACTTCTCTCATATGACTAAATAACTAGATCATGGATACAAACTAGTTTAATAGAACAACCATGAATCACATACCCACCATGAATCACAAGCCAACCAATGGAGAGGAGCTTTCTCTCTCTAGATACTAGAGAGAGAAGCAAGCCCCTACTTTTCTGGGATATTCTCTGAGTTGTGGAGTCCAGAGAAATTCTTTGGGTTGAAAGAATTTCTCTGGAAATATTTGTCTGGGAATTTTCTCTGGGTTGTGGAGTCCAGAGAAATTCTCTAGGTGAGAAAATCTCTGGAAATGTTTGTCTGAGAATTTCTCTGGGTTTGGGGAGTCTAGAGAAATTTTGAAATTTCTCTGCACCGAATTTTCTTTGGATCAAATTTTCTCTGGATCAATGTTGAGGGACCTTAGACATTATGAAAATATTGAGTGTCCTTTATACTATAAAATTTTAATACCAGGGACCTTAAAAAAACAATTCCCTAAAATTATTGCATATTTATAGAAAATTTTATAATTTTAATTACTTATATTTATAAATTTTATCATTTATTTGTAATTATTTTTTAAGTTTTACACTAAATTCCATTTTGGGGATTTTTTTTCTTTTTCGATCTTTAGCCCAGCACTTCAAAGTGATATTGGGCTTGGGCCGCCCATAGGTTAAACAATCAAGGCCTTGTAGACACGAGACCGAATTTGAAGTCCATTTCGATTCTTCATCGTCTCTGTCTTCTCTTGCAAACACTAGTTTGCAAATTAGGGTTTTGGATTGTGAATCCCCAATTTGTTCTTGCCCTGCAATTCTCGACCAATCGATCAATCTCTGTTCATCAAACGATGAAGCTTCAATTCTCCAAAGACAACCCTAATGGAAGGAGAGAGAAGATCGACGGTTCAAGTTCAATCAATCAGAAGAAGATTAAGAAGAAGAACGTGATGAGATTGGGAGGGGGTGGTCTCTCGCTCGAAACGTTCGCCAATGCAAAAACGAAATCCAATCAATACAACCCCGCCTTGATTAGTATATTCACCTCTCTCTCTCTCTCTCTCTCTCCCCTCTATTCCATTCTGTATCACAAGCTCATGTGTTCTTCATCAAATTTGGAACAATCTGTTCTCTCTATTTGATATCTGCTTTGAAATAATGGGTTTGATTGATTTAGCTGTTTTACATTGAAATAGTTTGTATTGTTGATAACTCTAGCCAATTGTAGTGGTGTTCGAGTTCAAAGTCTAATTTTTCATGTTTCTCAGGCTGTGTTTGGATCAAGCATTTGAGGAGGGATTTGAAAATAAAAAAGACATTTCACCGGTTTTGATTGAAATGACAAATCCATGAACCAAACGCAGCTTAAAGAAAATTTTAAATTGAAATGACAAAAAATTATCCGAAAATGTCTCTGTTAACCTTCCATATATCTATCCATGTTCCAAGCATGTTTCTTGGTTTCATGTCATTTTTGTTTTGATTCATATACTGATGAAGTACATGGCATGAGCCAGTTAGTGAACTTGATTTATGCGAACAAAATTTGAGTGTATGTTTTTCTTCGCTTTTTCTTCGCTTTTCCTATACCAATACTTTTCGGTTAAGAACTTGAAGATTTGGGAACCTACCTTTCAATATAAGCAACACAATAGAAGATGGAGGGACATTGAATATATAGTTTCTCAACAAAATACAATCACTTAGCAATATAGTTGTTTGTATCACAGCTTGTTAGTTTGAGAAATGGGAGTGGCAAAAGAACTATAAAAAAATTGTCATGAACTAGCGATCATCAACTTCTGTAAACATTCGTGTAGTATGGGCAAATATTCACATTGGCAGTGGTTTGCATTGATCTCATCCTCCTCGAGTTTACTCCCTTTATTAATTTTTTCTTGATTGTGCATAATTACATCTTTATTTAGAAACAAATTTATACTGTTTAACTATTTTTTCTTTTTCACAGAGAAGCAAAGGGAATTTTATAAGAACGCCAAATATGTGAGCAAGTATAAGAAGTCACAAAAGCAACAAAGCCAACAGAATGATCGTTACCCAGCTATGAGACCGCTAGAGGCCTGAATTCCTTTCTATTTAATCTGATTGTTTGCTTGTGTTGTTCGGGTATTGCTGAAAATTTCCCATTTTTTAAAAAAATATCACTTCTTTCATTGTTGATATACCTTTAATATCCTAAATGGTCTCGGGTGTGCATTTTTTGTTGTTATTACAGGATGAGAATGAAACTGAAATAGCTGGTGAAATGAACAAGAAAAACAAGAACTACAAGAAGAGTTCACAAAGTTTGCAAGAATTGTATAAGAAGAAGCGCGAGGAGGAAGAGATGGCAAAGATTGAAAGAGATGCCATTATTCAAGCAAAGAAGGAAGAAAGAGAGAGAGCTGAATCTCGAAGAAAAGCTTTAAGAGGGAAGATGTTGAAGAAAACAAGGTCTGGTCAGCCTATCATGAAGTACAAAGCATATTTGTGCAACTAATGAGAAGAATTACAGGCTTTGTAAAGAAGTTTGCATTATTCACCACACCATTCTTTCTGTATGCTAGGTTACTGGAAAAGTGGGGGGAAAACAAAGAAAAACAAATTTTATACTAATTACTCCAATTGATCTGCACTCGCTCCAATTGATTTCTGCTTTGTGGTTTCACTCACTACACCAAATTAAGATTTTAGAGATAAATTTAAAAATAAAATTACATTTTAGGAACGAAATATTTTTATTATCGCAAGTGTTATTATTATGTTTTTTGCAAGAAAAATAGACATTTAATGATGAAGTATTATCTTTTGGGTATTAAAATTTTTTGTTTAAAATAAAATAAAATAAAATAATATAAAAAAACCTTTTTAAGATCAAATTATTGCCATGCATTTATTAGCAAAATTTTCAAAATGTTATTGCTAAAAGTCTTAGTTATTTTTCGGCTCAATTTTTTAGTGACTATCATCGCAACAATATGAATTGATCTCCAAATATTTGTTACAATAAAATTTTCACTTTTGGAAGCAAAAAAATTGATCTCTTAAACTCTAATATGTGGTAACGCCACCATGCATCCATGTTTATATGCATTTAATTTGATTGAATTCATTAGCATTGTCTAAAATCTTGTTCATTAAGTTGGTAATGCTTACTACAGTTGAGCTTGACAACACGATCGGAAACCAAATCCATGTTGGGTATTCTTCTAGTATGCGAGTACAAGACAGAAGCAAAGACAGTAGTGAGACATTGTGAATGTAAAATCTCGACTAAATTAGCTTGCAATTATTTCCATTCCGGGATAAGAGAATCTTAAGCAGATTTGTAGGTGATATGAAGAAAGGATATTGTGCACTGGCAAGAGAATGAAAATGAAAATGCAAATCATAAACCGTGATCCAATGAAGGGTTAAAGGAAACTAATAGTAAGCTTACAAATAAATTCATGAACGAAGTTCCACACGTAACGCCAAGACAAAAAAAATAGCATCCAAGCTTGAAATATAAGTACTGTACCAAAGTGTTATCTAATAAGGTAACACGGTACAGTTATCCCTTAAAATTGAGAAATCGGAAAAGTAATCAAACTTTGAATCAAAGTATATGGATCTAAGCCGAAATTAAAACTCAACGGTTCCCTATCTCAGGAGACACATGGACCTATGAGTACTTCTGTACTGCCAAGTTTGGCCATCAAGAGGCTAAGAACCAGTAGTTGGAACAGAATTAGATTCTGATGATCCAACTATTTCTTCAAAAACTTCCATGTCATTTGCGAAAAATTGCATGACCTTGTGGGAGTTGTATTGTAAAATGTTGTATTTTTATTTTGTTGTTTGGTCTCTGCGCTTGGCTTTGTAATTCATTTGCGAAAAATTGCATTAAAATCAGTAAACATTGAAGTCTAAACTGTGTATGTTCAAGGTTGCCACTAAAGTAATATACCTATGTGTGGTAACTAAAATTTTGGTCTCTTTATTCTGTGCATTATGTGTTTATGCATATGTGGAATTAGGCCTTTTGTTTCTGTTACTTTTCGCTTAAATTCCTTTAACTTTGATGTTGGATTATGTTTAGGCTTTATAAACTCAATACTGATTTGTTTCTTCCAGTGGCACACTCGAGATCAATTGTTCAAAGGATATTAAAATTCAGGGGATCATTGGACCTTGCACATCTTTGGAGAAGGTTGGTTCATTTGATATTATCTGTCTGGTTTTCTTTAGGATGAAGATCATGTACCTGTAATCAAACAGCTATTCTCTGCTTGACTGCTTAGCAGAATTTGGATTAAATCTTATTTGTAAGGTTGGCACTAATTACGGTAAACCTTGCAGAAAGGACCCGTTGTTGCCAATACAGTCATAGGACAGGGAAATACTACATCTTGAAAGATGTGTGGCCTCGACAAAAGTATTTGCTTGACCGTTTTCTTTAATATTTCATCTAGTGAAAAGCCAGACCCTTCAGGAATTTGCAGGGGTTAAAGCTATGTATATCTGACTCTCTTCAAACCGTGATGAAGTTCATTCACTATCTTCTTCTGTGTGCCATCATTTTCGAAGCCTTTGTTTATCTTGTTCTAGAAATCAATTTTGTTGATGATAGATTGTTTAGCAATGCTTATGAAGTGCTATGTGGAAATGATATGCTCTTAAGGGTCTTGCCCTATCCCTTTAGAAATAGAACAATTCTCTACTTGATTGATATCAAATAGTTATGCATTCTCTGAATTTGTGTTCCAATCTTTTTATTATTTTTGGTAAATTAAATTTCACTGAGCAAAAACAACACAAATAACAATCATGTGAAGGGCATGTGAAGGGCAATAAGTTGTCAAACTGGGCTAACCAGCTCTACCTCTATTTTGTTGCAGTTGTTTGCGCTTGTCTGATTATACTTGTGGAAACACTAGTAGATATCACTCCTTGTCACTTTATCTATCTTAAATCATGAAGACTACAATGTGTTTTCTTATTACATTTTGAAAACAAAATCTAATCATGAAGACTACAATGTGGTCGGGTTGAATGAATTTTGTTCGATATTGTATTGAATGCTTATAAACAAAAATTGATTGTTCTAAAAAAAAAAAAAAGAAGAGAGATTTGGCGACTTAAAAATTAGTCGGCAAATTCTACACTTTTGCGACTAAAATCATTAGTTGGCAATTCCTTACCTTTTGGCGACTAAATTGTTAGTCGGCGATTCCTCAACTTTTGGCGACTAATTTGTTTGATCGTGGAATGTAATAATTGGCAACTAAGATATTGGGTCGGGAAAATATCACTTTTCGCGACCAAAGTATTTTACCGACAAAATGGATTAGTCGCAATACTGATGCATTTAGCGACCAAAAATTTAGTTCACAAATCCAACTTTTCTCGATTAACAAAAATTTTAGTCACGAATTACTTTTGTCGACCCTCAATTTACGACCAAAGTAGCGACCAAAAAAATTAATCGCGAATAACTTTTACCAACTAAAAATAAACTTTTAACAACTAATTTTTTGATCAACAAAGGTATTATTTCTTATAATGTGCTAAAAACGTAACAGACGGTGGGGTCCTCACCCTTGCCTTTGCCTCTCTCACATGCAAATTACAACCCTCTCCATACCATCCTCCAAACCAACACAAGACATCCCTTGCCTTCCATCCCTCTCGTTTGTCCTCATTTACCTCTCTCCACACACGCACAAAAAGTCATTTAATGTAGAATTAAATTTGATGTTACATAAGTTATATCCAGAATAAATATTTGGCTTCTCATGTTCAAATATAAACAAGTTTAGTTATCTTTAAATTTCAGAAAAATTAAAATTTATTTGAAAATATTATCAACACTAAAAGATAAAACAACAAAAGTCATTTAATGTAGAATTAAATTTGCTGTTACATAACTCACATCCAAAATGAATATTTGGCTTCTCATGTTCAAACATAAGCTGAAGAGAGCTTAATTAAGGACCATTTTGGCAACAAAAAGTAAAAGTCATCTTTTTTTTTTTTTTTTTTTTTTTTTAGTGATTTATTTTTTCAAAATTATGTCAAAATTTTTATTTTTCTGGTCTGTCTTGGAGACTTTTTTAAGTTGGAATTAAAAATTTTTTTTGAGAGGAAATTTTTTTTTTTTTTTTTTAATTCTAGAAAAAAATCACTAAACGCCGAAATAAACATAAAAATATTACTTATTTTTGGATTTTTTTAAAAATTATAATTTTTCCGTTCGTTTTGTCGAACTTAATCTAAAAACCTATAACTTTTTTGAAAAATTTTAAAAAAAGTTCATCAAGGACTAAAATAAACCCAAAAAAAAAAAAAAAAAAAGTTAAAAAATACACTTTCTAAAACACCCCTAAGTCAATCAAATTATATCGATTTGAACTTGAGATAATATCAACTCTTTGAATTTTATCAAAGTCCATGGATTTAAACGAGTTTCAACGCAAAGTGATTGATGTTAGTCTCCCAGGAAAGTCTCATGAAGAAAAGTAAAAACACCCCTAAGTCAATCAAATTATATCGATTTGAACTTGAGATAATATCAACTCTTTCAATTTTATCAAAGTCCATGGATTTAAACGAGTTTCAATGCAAAGTGATTGATGTTAGTCCCCCAGGAAAGTCTCATGAAGAAAAGTAAGGTGGCTCCACTGTAATTTTTCTGTCTTGATTTTACTAATTTTGTTTGGTTTTGAATTTTTGTAAATAATTTTTGAATTTTTAATCTATATGTTTCAATATTTTTAAAATGTAAAATAATTGTAAATTTTGAAAAGAAAATCAATAACTATAAAAAAAAAATATGAAAATTAACTAAATTTTTATATTTTTTAGTATTTAGTGACTTTTAATAAAAATTATAAAATTTTGTACATTTTGTGTACATAGATTAAGTGAATTAAAAAAAATTGACTAAAACATTAAAAGAAATTCACTGAAAATTTTAAAAAAATACACAAATTCACAACGGAAACAAAAGTACAATAAATTCATAAACATCCAAAATTACATCACTTTTTTCTTTACTTTTAAATTTAAACCATCAAATTAACATAACAAGATTGATCACCGTCCCTAAATATTAAAAAAAAAAAATACACAAATTCACAACAGAAACAAAAGTGCAATAAATTCTTAAACATCCAAAATTACATCACTTTTTTCTTTACTTCTAAATTTAAACCATCAAATAGTTTCATTTATTTATTTATTTTTCTTGTTTTTGCGCAATCAGATGCCGATGCATTTGGGATTGCACAAATGGCGCTGTACATCATCTACAAGTATGCAAAAAAACAAATTTTACCACAAGTTCACTGAAAATTAAAAAAAAAAAGTACACAAATTCACAACGAAAACAAAAATGCAATAAATTCTTAAACATCCAAAATTACATCACTTTTTTCTTTACTTTTAAATTTAAACAAATTTTATCACAAGTGAAGCTGCAAGATTTAGGAACGGTGATCAATCAGCTTCACTTGTGGTAAAAAAAAAAAAATTGCGTAAATTTAAAAGTAAAGAAAAAAATGATGTAATTTTGGATGTTTAAGAATTTATTGCACTTTTGTTTCCGTTGTGAATTTGTGTATTTTTTTTTTTTTAATTTTCAGTGAACTTGGGATAAAATTTGTTTTTTTGCATACTTGTAGACGATGTACAGCGCCATTTGTGCAATCCCAAATGCATCGGCATCTGATTGCGCAAAAACAAGAAAAATAAATAAATAAATGAAACTATTTAGTAATAAGTAACAAAAATCTAAAACTATACAATTTTAATTTAAAAATTTGAAAGATATTTTCAGGACCCGAGAGACTCACTGCAATGTAGACATATAATGCAATATTTTTGTAACAAAATTTATAATGCATTGTGGTAACAATATTTTGTAATTATAGACATATAATGCATTGTGTACATAAATTTTGTGGACACTTACTGCAATGTAGTAATCCTTTATGAAAAAACCATAAAGAAACCACATGATTGCACATAGTGTGAGGAAAAATGAGAGTGCAAATGGCATGTACTCCACGCTCTTCGTTTTTATAACCAGCCTCTGCAAAATAAACAAAAAAAGCACATGAACATATACATCATAAAATTAATAATTTTATCAACACAAATTTTAAATTATTTTATATAATTAATTATGTATTCGACATAACAAACAAGTACCATGATGCTAAGAGGAGCAGCAAAAACAGAGACAAAAAAGACAGCGCAGATCCATCCGACAATCGTGACTTGCTGATGCCCTTTGGAGAATAGGAATGTGCAAAGCGTGATCAAACCGAATGCTCCTACGTTAAACATGATAAGCAGCTTTGTCGTATATATCTGAAATGATCACCAAAAAAGAAAAAGGCCCACAACAAAAAAAATCGCACTATAATCAGTGATTTATAAATTTTTTATTTGTATATCATTGCTTGTAAATGAAAGACAAGGCATAGACACTAACCTTGGCCTCCCTTGTTGCATATATCATGAAGACTAGAAGATATGTGGCTTCAACGGCACATCCTATGGTGTTGATTGTAATAATCATAAGCCCATTTGTCTTCAAAAAACCATAGTACAAAAGTAACATAGCACTGAAGAGTGCAACAGCGTAAGGTGTCGATTGAAATCCTTCTGTTGATTTCTTCTTGTATATTCTATAGAAGGTTGACCTACCCAAAAAAATAAAACATTTATTGATAAATACTGGTTTTAAATAACAGTATCTAGGAATGGCAACGGCACGGGGCGGGGCCGGGGATCACCCTCCCCGTCCCCGAAGGCACAAAAGTCCCCATCCCCGTCCCCGATCCCCGGCAGGGAACCCATCACCTTCCCCGCCCCCGCCCCCAACGGGTTTCGGGATCCCCGACCCCTAAACATCCCCGTAAAAAACAACATCCACAACAAACAACAACCCCCCCAACAGAACAGATCAGCAACCACAACATTACAACCAAAAAAAAATGGACAGATCTGATACACACACACATACATGTATACATATACAATAGATGAACCCAAAAAAAAAAATGATACTGATACACACTCACACACACATACATGTATACATATACACAGATCTGTGTGGATCGCGCACGGATCCATGTCGATCGACTCAGATTTACGCCGAAACATGGCTGAAACCGCGGTGCTACGGCGAGAGAGAAGAGAGAGAGGAGGTGCTACGGCCTACGGCGGTGCTGCGAATCTGCGATGGAGGATGGTAGAGGAAGTGTTGCGACGGAGGACGGCGGAGCGGCTGTTCTTGAGACTGGATCTGGTCTGGATCGACATGGGTTTGAGAGAGTTGACAGAGAGAAGAACCAGAGAGTGAGAGAGTAAGAGAGTGAGAGAGATGAGAGTCACTTGAGAGAGTGAGTTGAGATGAGAGTATGTATATGAGAGAGAGAGAGTTATATAAAAATAATAATACAACTAAACATAAATAGAGTTATATAAATATAATAATACAACTAAACATATAAATAGGATATATGCGGGGATTTTTCGGAGAAATGTCGGGCCGGAGCGGGGTCGGGCCGGGGCAGGGAAGAGAAATTTATTTTCATGTCCGGCCTGAAAATCATCGGAGATGTAATTTTTAATATCAGTCCCGACTCTACGGGGAATAATTTTTAAGAAAAAATTTATTTATCGGGACGGGGTCTGGGTCCCCATCGGACCAAGTTCATATTGCCATCCCTAACAGTATCAAGATAGATATAGTATCAACGATACAATAAGAGAGGGATGGAGAGCTCACAGTGGTGCCAAGTACACAAAAAATGACACAATGTTGCCTATGGGAAATGAAAAAAAGAAGAAACTTTAGATGATAAGAAGGTTAAAAAAAAAAAAAAAAGATGCAATTTATGAGGGGATGAAGAATGTACCAAGAATGCCAAAGGCAGAAGCCATGTGAGAAGCAGTTAAGATAGCCATATCTTGGTGATGGAGTGTGAAGCCTTTTGGAAAAAAAGGTGGAACTGTTTGAGAGCAAAGGACATGTTTGATTGGATGGATTAGAGTATGGGATTGAGATTATTAATCCGTGGATCCAATTATCGTATGTTTGTTTTAACATTTTGGTTTAAGATTATTAATTCATTGGATAATTAATCCAACAAATTTGTATGATTATTAGTAATGGGATAGGGGTGAGATTATTAATCTAATAGATATTAATCCAATTGGATAGTGAATACCACACTAATTTAATAGAATTATTAATACTTTACCATTAATTTTGTGAATCAAACATGACCAAAAGAGCTTATGAGAACTCTTTGCATTCCTCACATTTATATAGGCATAAAATAAAATATAAAATAAAAAGTGAAAGAGAATTTTTTTTGAAGATGGTTTGCGTTCGAGATTTAGCTTCAAGCTGTCCAACAAAAAAAACTGCTCATGAATGCGAGGGAAGGTTGTGTGTTGGCCTAGATGAGTTGATGATTCATCATGAATTCCATTGCCCCCAAGCCTATTTCTTGGTTTGGCAACTTCACAAAGCTCATTGTGTTTTGTAGGAAAAAGTTAGAAATGATGAAAAAAATTTCATGAAAATAATCATGAAAGTTTTGTGACCTTTGGATTATCTTGATTAGTGTGTAGTGTTTTATTTTAAGTATAATACAAGGGTCACCGATTTTTCATAGTTATTTTTATGAAAGGTTTTTTATGACACCTAATATTGCTGTATTTTGTAACTATGTCATGGAAAAACCACATTTGACAACTCAATTTCCTACCTGTTTGGCTCATGTGACTTGTACCTCTCTTAAACTTTAGACCCATCAATTTTCTCCTATAATATAAGGTAAAAGGAAATGCTATTTACCATAAATTTATAAGAAAATGCTATCAACCAAAAATTTGTGTCTTGAAAATTACCTTGTAAGTACGTCAAGTATATTCGCTAAATTTTAAGACAGTTGTGGACCAAAGATGTTAGTTTTTGGAGTAGTTTTTTTTTAGTATATGGTATTATTATAAATATTTTATATAAATATATATATATAAACAAATTGAAAACTGTTACATAGAATACTCGACTAAAATGATGTGATAATTATAGGGGCGGTAAATAAGGACAAAGAGAGGTTGGTAGGCAAGGTAAGGCCAAGTTTGACTAAACTAAAAAAATACACTTATTTCATCTTTTTATTTTTTTTAGGTCACATCAATCAATATCTCCTCTCTACTTTTTCTACCCATAATACAAGAAAAGTCAAAAAGTACACTTATTTAGTCTTCCCAAACTTAACATAAATAAGGACAAAAGAGGGGGATGGTAGGCAAGGGATGTGTTGTGTTGGTTTGGAGGATAGGATGGAGAGGGTTGTAATTTGCACATGAGAGAGGCAAAGGCAAGGGTGAGGACCCCAACTTCTGTTAAATGACTTTTGCGTTTTAGATTCATCTCAAATAAATGGCTTTTGTCGTTTTATCTCTTAGCGTTGATAATATTTTCAAAGGGTTACGCTTCAAACCCCAGCACTTTTGTGAGAGAGGAGAGGAGAGAGGGAAAAAAAAAAAACATAATGTGTGATCATAAATTAATTGGGAGTTATGGAGGTGTCAAGTATTATTGATTTTTAAATTAATTTTTATTTTTAAAAAAAAAAATCAGACAATTGATTCTGAAATTTAGGGATAACTAAACTTGTTTATATTTGAACATGAGAAGCCAAATATTCATTTTGGATGTGACTTATGTAACACCAAATTTAATTATACATTAAATGACTTTTGTCCTTTAGATTTGTGTCCAATAGATGATTTTTGTTGCTTTATCTTTTAGTGTTGATAATATTTTCAAATTAATTTTTATTTTTTAAAAAAAAATTAGACACTTGATTCTGAAATTTAAAGATAACTAAACTTGTTTATATTTGAACATGAGAAGCTAAATATTTATTTTGGATGTGGTGGTATTACATATATCAATTAATGTGCTAACTAGTGTACCAATTAATGATGTGACACAATTTAAGAAGTTTTTTATATTTGTAATGTAATTAATGAATATAATTAATAGTTAGTGTTAATATATTAATTAATATACTAATTGGTGTATATAACATTATTCTTTTAGATGTAACTTATGTAACACCAAATTTAATTCTACATTAAATGACTTTTGTGCGCGTGTAACTTATGTAACACCAAATTTAATTCTACATTAATTGACTTTTGTGCGTGTGCAGAGAGAGACTAGGGGAGAGCTAAATAAGGACAAAAGAGAGGGATGGAAGGCAAGGGATGTGTTGTGTTGTGTTGGTTTGGAGGATGGGATGGAGAGGGTTGCAATTTGCACGTGAGAGAGGCAAAGGCAAGGGTGAGGACCCCTATAACATTTTCTTAATTTAGTGACATAGTTAAGTGACATTTGAAAGTATTACAAAATTATTAGTTTAATGATATTTTTTAGTCTTGTGACATTTTGAACAAGCGTCATTTGTATCCGTACCACGGTAGATTTGCCAGTGCCACTACACCATCATAACTAAAAACTTTCAATGATATTTTGATGTCATAGTAGATATTATTTGTGACACTATCAAGCGCCATTAAAAAAAGAGTTAGTGACACTTATAAGTGTCATTACACCATCAATATTAAAACTTTTCAGTGACACTTTAATGTCATGGTAGGCACTATTCGTGATGCTATCAAGTGTCATTCGTGACGATAATTCGTTGTAGAACAATTTGATCTGCTCTTGCGGAGACTCGAACCGCCAACCTCCCATACCATAAACCTTATACATCACACTATTCTCACTACACCTCTATAGTACCACATGATTATATATGCCATATATATTATTTATATAGTACATACATCCATATTAATATAAAAGTATATGTATAAACATAATTATTTTATTGAGCATAATTTATGTAAAATAAACTATTTACTAGCAAAATAAAAAAAGACTACTTTTGGCGACTAAAAATATTTTTTAGTCGCCAATTCTATACTTGTGGCTATTAATTATTTTTTAGTTGCTAAAAAACTTAACTTTTGCCGACCAAAATCGGATTTGGTCGCCGAAGATGCACTTTCAGTTACCAAAATTTTGGTCGCCAAAAAATTTAATTCCAGCCTTAGGATGTTAGTTCTCCCACGCTAAAAATGACCACTTTTGACGACTAAACTTATTTTTTAGTCGCCAATTGTAGACTTTTGGCTACTAAAATTTTTTTAGTCACCAAAAAGCTTTACTTTTGGCTACTAAAATTTTTTAGTCGGTAAAACTCATATAATCAACGACCAAACTTATTTTTAGTCGCCAATTGTAGACTTTTGGCTACTAAATTTTTTTAGTCACTAAAACTCATATAATCAGCGACCAAACTTAGTTTTAGTCGCCAATTGTAGACTTTTGGCTACTAAAATTGTTTAGTCGCCAAAAAGCTTTACTTTTGGCTACTAAAGTTGTTTTGGTCGCTGAAAGCTATACTTTCAGCGACCAAATTTTTTTTGGTCAAAAAATTTAGTCACCGAATGTGCTTTTTCCTGTAGTGTATATTGAGTTTAATTTATTTATTTTTAATCATTTACTGCATTTAAAAATTTAGAAAATATATTGACATTTTTTATTTTTTCAAAAATGTCATTATAAGCTTGTAAAGTTTTTGGCTTAGTGGCATTTTTCAAAATGCTATAAAATATTTGTTTATGACACTTTTCACCTAAGTGCCATAAAAAGCAATTTGCACCTACCTAGTGTCCTGACTTTTTTTAAAAAACGCCATTGCTACTAAAGTTTAGTGGCATCTGTTATTAAATGTCACGAACATAATTTTTTGTGTCATTATTTTATAAAATGCCATAAAATTGATGTGACATTTCTTCATTAAAATGCCACTAGAGCCTTATATGTTTGTAGTTCTGTGGCATTTTTCTAAAACATTTAATGCTAATTTTTATTTTTGTGGCATTTTCTAAAAACATGCCATTAGTGTAGTGTCACTAAAGTGTAAATTTGTTGTAATGACATTTTTGTTGTAGTGAAGTGACACTTTTTTTTAATTGAAATGCCACTAGAGCCTTGTACGTTTGTGGCTCTATGACATTTTTAAAAAAAATGCCGCCAAATATTCTTTTTGTGACATTTTTTAAGAACACGCCACTAGTATAGTGTCACTAAAATGTGTTTTTGTTGTAGTGAGTCCACCTTCTGTTACGTTTTTAGCACCAAGCTCCAAACACATCCTTCACCTACTCCTTCCTCTAATTCTACATTAAATCCTCGTTTGGCAATGACTTTTTTAGTTAGTTTTTTTATTTTTTTTATTTTTTTAGCCTGAGACTTTTTTAATGGTTTGGTATTCTTGTTTGGCTTTTTTGGCTTTGGAATGGTGTTATTTTTATTTATTTTTTTTGTCTATTTGC